TCACCGGATTTAGGATAAGCCGCTAGGAACACATCGTCTTGTCTAAATTCTATGGAGTCCAGCGCTTGGAAGGTCTCAGCACTGCACAGTCCAATAGGGTACAGCACCCCCTTGTAGGAGAACAGCAGCTCTTCAGATTCCTTGCCTTTAACATCATCGAAATATTTCTCTATTTCATTAATAATACCACTCTTAGCCATGGCTGGAGCTTGCTGTGCCTCTTGCCAGATTCTCCCCTTAAACAGCGTGTCTCTAGCGTTCTTTAGTGTACGGAGGCAGAGGGGGAACTTTTAAACAAACTTCTCGGCACATGCACTGTCTGACTCTGCTGCTCTTGCCCAGCAGTGAGGGAAATTGCAGCTAAAAAAACCAGTTCTGAATTACACAGTCCCTGGTTGAACTCTTGGCTGTAAACTGCAACTGGTTTCAGCCAGTGTTGTAGATTAAGTGTTGTAGATTACACTGAACTTTAGCTTCCCCTGGGAGTGAGTGGTGCTGGGAGGAGTAATTGTCTATAGACATTACTAGTGGGAAGAAGGGGGATAAATTATGCTGATTCAACCCCTTGGACTCCACACAGAATGATAAGAATACTCTTTCACCTGATCCCCTTGCTGCTAGTTTTCTACTAGTGTAAAATTATCTACGTGGGCCAGCCTGGGATTTGCTGCTGTAGAATCTTTGCAATTGGTTTTGTGAAAACTGGATGAGTCACAATGACAGGAGAGAGAAAGGAGTAAAGGTGGGGCAGGGTAACTGCTTCTCATGCTTATAGGATTACAATGGTTTTACTAGGGAGAGACTAGGAGCTCTTCGGAGTAAAGATTGTCCTAACTTTATCCTATAAGCCTAATAATACACAGCTAAACCCTAACTTGGCCAACACCAACCAGACAACCTTCATTGTTCGGGCTATCTACCACAATATCTAATATTAACCTTCCACATAAGAACCTGCCACTGTCCATAAGGGACTCAACATAACCCATTTAAGACCCATTCACCAACATTCTTCAGAGACTCCATAACTCACTTATAGGCCAGAAATCAAGTTAATTATGTCCAGTCTCAGCATGACCCCAAGGTCATGTAAAAAGTCTTGGAAAACAGGTTTGGGATCCCCTTGTGCAGGGTCTGTGCAGAAGGGTGGATATCAAGGCCTAGCAAAACACACATTTTATAATTCATATATACAGTAAGGAAGACTTTCATATTTTTGCAAAGTAATGTAATAGTTTTCCCCATTAGTAAGGGGAGGATAAGTAAGGATAACAAAGGTAAAGTTTCAGAGTAGCAGCCGTGTTAGTCTGCAGCACTGCCAGAGCCCATGTCAGTGTGTTGTGGTCAGGATCCTCCCTGACAGCAGTGAGTCTTCTGCCGCTGCTAGGGCCCCGGGCTGGGACGCAGTGGAGTGGGTGGGCCTGCGTCCCCCCCGGTACCCAACTCAGCGGTGGCAGTCTCCCCCTCTCCCAGGCCGCTCAGAGCCAGGAGCCTGAGGTTTGCTGTTCAACCTGTTTGCTCAGCCCCTGCCTGAGGGTCTGAGCTACTGAATGCTTGTTGTCCCGCCCTGACCCAGGGCCTCGGCTTGCTACTATTGAACTGTTTGTTCAGCCCCTGCCAGAGGGCTGGAGCTGCTGACGCTTTGCCGCACAGCCACATGGTCCATCAGCCGCTGAAACATGGCTGGGGCCCCATGGAGGCCGAAGGGCATCCGGGTAAATTGGTACAGACCTGTTGGGGTGGCAAACACGGTCTTCTCCCTCAAAGCGGGGTCAAGGGGGATTTGCCAGTAGCCCTTACTGAGGTCAAGTGTGGTGAGGAAACCAGCCACCCCTAACTGACCAAGCAGCTCATCTACGCGCGACATAGAATATGCATCAAATTTGGAAATGGCGTTGACGCGTCAGAAGTTGATGCAGAAGCACCGTGTCCCATCAGGCTTGGGTACTAGCACTATCTGACTACGCTATTCACTCTGTGAGGGTTCAATTACACCTAGCTCTAGCATGGCTTGTACCTCTTCCTCGACAATCTGCCACATGCGATGTGGCAAGGGCCTGGTCATTTCTCGGATCACTACCTCAGGCTCTGTCTGAATGGTATGATAAACCAGGGTTGTGTAGCCCAACTGGCCGGTGAAGGTTCATGGGAATGCCTGCAGGAGGCACCAGGCTTGCTTGCGTTGTTCGTCCGTGAGGGTCTCCGCGAGCTGGGGCCACTCGGTGTCTTGGGTTAGGGCGGCATGGGGGCCCAGTTCTGGCTCAGGCGGGTAAGGGTTAATTAATAAGCCCTCGCGCTCCCGCCAGGGCTTCAGGAGGTTGACATGGTACCGCTGGGTTTTCTTACGTCGGTCCGGATGGTTGACCTCATAGGTGATGGGCCCCACCTTCCAGACCACCTCGTAGGGGCCCTGCCAGTGGGCCAGTAGCTTGGACTCACTCGAGGGCAGGAGAAGCAGGACCCGGTCCCCAGGTTTAAAGTCGCGGCTCTGTGTGTCTCGGTTATAGGTTCATGCTTGTGCCTCCTGGGCGACCCTTAAGTTTTCCCGGGCGAGTGCCCTGGCCTGAGAGGCGCGTTCCTGGAGCTGGAGGACATACTTCAAGAGGCCCTTGGTTGGTGATGGAGTTTGTTTCCAGTTTTCGCGCATCAGGTCGAGCAACCCCCGTGGATGGCGGCCATACAACAACTCAAAAGAAGAAAACTTCGTAGAGTCCTGAGGCACCTCCTGGATTGCCAGAAACAAAGGTGGGAGTAGCTGGTCCCATTGGCATAGTGCTTCTTGAGGGGAATTTGCGCAACATGTCTTTTAGAGTACGGTTAAACCATTCAACCAAGCCGTCGACTTGTGGATGGTAAATAGAGGTGCGCAACTGCTTGATCCCCAGGAGCCTACACACCTGCCGCAGCAGTTGGGAAGTAAAGTTGGTGCCTTGATCCGTGAGAATCTCCTGGGGCAGGCCTACACAAGCAAAGACCTTCACAAGCTTGCCCACAATGGTTCAGGAGGTGATGCTCCGCAGTGGTACTGCCTCTGGGAAACAGGTAGCATAATCCACTAGGACCAACACATTCTGAAATCCCATGGTGCTTTTCGGGAGGGGCCCCACCAGGTCCATGGCCATGTGTTTGAAGGGCGTTTCGACTATGGGCATGGGGACCAACGGGGCCTTGGGTGTCCGTGGGGGTGCAGCTAGCTGGCACTCTGGGCAGGAGTTACAATAGTTCCTTACCTCCTGATGCACGCCAGGCCAGAAGAAGTGTGTCAGTATCCGGGCTAGAGTCTTCTCTTGGCCCAAGTGCCTGGCAGAAGGGATGTCATGGGCAAGTTTCATTACTGCCCACCGGTGACATTGAGGCACGAATAGTTGGCTCTGGGGTTCTCCAGTGCCCGGTTCCCATTCTACCTGATAGAGCCGATCCTGTCGCAGTTCAAAATGTGGCCACTGCTTCGCCTGGTGCGGGTCAATTACATCCCCATCGACCATGGCTAGTTGCTCGTAAGCGTGACTGAGGGTGGGATCTGCCCTTTGGTCATGACAAAAGTCAATGTGAAGCAGGGGTTCAGCGGTAGCTTCTGGAGGGGAGTCCTCAGGCTCTTCTTCCGGACCACTGGGGGCTGGTGCCTCCTCCCCCTCGTACTGGGTCTCAGGGAGGCTCCCTTCCAGTACCGGGGTAGTTGCAGGCCTCTCGTCGGCATTGGAGCAGAGGACTTCCGGGATGTCTGGGCAGTCCCGCCCCAGGATCACTGGGTAGGCAAGCCGAGGAGCCAGGCCGACCACCATCGATTACATGACCCCATCCACAGTCAGTCAGGCTTGGGCACTGGGGTGGGGTCGTACATCGCCGTGAATGCATTGTAGACAGATCGTCCCCAGTCGTGGGTCAGCCTGGAGGCCTAAGCTTTGGTGAACCAGCGTCTGGCAGCCTGAGTCAATTAGGGCCAAGGTTGGGCAATCCGACAACCACTGGCACTGTAATCTTGGTGGCCTGTGGGTGTCGGGCGCGGGCTTCTCCCGTGCAGACCTGGCCGAAGCTGCAATCCATCTCAGTGTAGTCTCGCTGTAAATGGCCATATTTCCCACAGGAAAAACAGGGCCCGATATCCGAGCGCCCAGGCCGGGACAGTGTTCCCGCCTGGCCTCTGGGAGGGCTTCAGTTGGTCCCTCGGGCATCTGGTCGAGGTGCCAGGGCTTGTCGAACCGGGACCTCAGCAGGTTGGGGCTCCAGGCCCCACGATAGATTTTGTGGTTTGCTCCCGATGACCCCCCTTTTCTCTGGGTTAGGGTGCTCGGGTCCTGGCAGGGCAGCTTGAGTGATCGGTCCCACTGGTGCTTTGGCGGCGAGGAAATCCTCCATCAATGTGATGGCAGCAGTTAAGGTCGTAGGCTGATGGCGGAGGACCCCGGCCCTCCCTTGTGATGGGAGTATATGGACGAATTGCTCCAGAATAATTTGTTCAACGAGCTCATCCGAGGTTCGCCTTTCAAGTTATAGCCACCACTTGCAGGCTTCCCACAACTCGTGGGCTACCATCCGGGGTTGGCCCCCGTAGGGTAGACCAAGCTCCAGAACCGCTGTCGGAAGGTCTCCGGGTTAACGTCCAGGGCATCTAAGATTGCCACCTTTACCCGGGTGTAGTCCCGGGCCGCGTCCGTGGAAAGGCCCTGATATACGATTTGGGCGGTCCCAGTCAGATATGGGGCCAAAATAGTAGGCCATTGGTCTTGGGCCCAGCCTGTGACTAAACACCACCCTCTCAAAAGTTACCAGAAAAGCTTTTGGGTCGTTGTTGGGGCCCATCTTTGTCAACCGGATGGGAGGGGGCCAGGCTGGGGGGGCTCACTGGCATCCGCAGGCTGGGGCTCTGCAGGACGGGGCAGCAAGGTCTCCAACTGCTGCAGGCATTGCTGCAGGTGGTCCCGGTTCTGGCGTCCCAGCTCCAAAATCAGCTGTTGCTGTTGGGTCCCGAGTTGCTGGACCAGCTGCTGCTGCTGGAGGAGCTGGGCGGCGGCCTGCTGCTATTGTTGGCTTTCGGCTAAGAACTTTATAAGCTCGTCCATATCCATGGTCGCTCGGGCACGCTCCACCGCAGATCCCTTCTTACAAGGATCAGGGGATCAAGGCCCACATTCTCCACCACGTGTAGGGCAGTTCGGCCGGAGCTCGTCCCCCTTCGGGGCAGCGGGGAGCCAGACCGCCTCGCTACTGTGACCTATATTTAAATTAGCCCTTACATTAAATATGCAAGCTAATTTTAATGTGTCCTGGAGAGTTTAGACCTAATCCTTCAATAGTTGCTCTCTTTCATGAATGGGGTTATTTTAGAAATTCATTGCAGACTTGAATTTTTACTTCCTTCCAAATATTTTTCATACCGCAAGATTCTACATGACAGTTAAACAAATTCATTCTTGAATTGATTTTAAAGTAATCAGGAACAAAGCAGTGTGTGTATATCCAT